CGGTTCGCCACCCCCTGTCAACGGTCAACCTGGTCAACGTTTTCAGTGATCGAATGGCTAAACGACAGATAAGTCTGGTCTCTTTCTAGGAATGCATAGCTAGTAAAATGATGGAAAAAAAGTAAATGTAGATATTGTTCTTGTTTGTATTCCACATTCCCCCACTCCCACAGAAACAAACGAAGAAAACGAAATTATAGCTTGTGTGCATCTAATAATTTATATTTCGTCAATTCATATTTTACAAACTAGTTTGATTTGTTTTTATAAATCAACGTTTTATAATAATCGATACATCCTGATTAATCAAGCTTTTATAATAATCAGCGTTTCTTGACCGAGTCAGCTTCAATATCATTTGTGTTATAACAGCCAAACTGTATCAGGATTTCTGCAATTTTTATTCTAATAAATTTTAAGCCGACTTAACAGATTTTTTGAAAATCAGTCGCTTTATCTCTTGTTTAATTCTGCGTGGTAGTCGCTAATCTGAGCAGACTACACAAAACATTTAAGAGATTGCTGCAAGGAAATGATAATTGTTAGCAATAGTAGTCACATGCGGAAGTTCGGAGTCCGTATTTCAACTACTAAGAGAATTTAAGGTGTATTTTTGCTTTCACAGCATATGAACGCAAATACTTTATTATCGATAAGTATTTGTAGCTGATAAAGTAGTAATTTTCTCTCTTTTTACGGAGATATAATGGCAAAACATTTCTTTTCTTTTTACCTATATGCCAACTGTCTTGTACTTCGGGCATAGACTAATTTGGATTTAAACTACCATGACGACCCTTATCAAACTGGGAGAATATTCTCCGTTTAGTTAATTATTCCATACGGCAAAACTGTCATAAAGAATGCGGAAATTTCTCCCAAAAATTACATTTCAGGCTTCCTGTTGAAATTCAACTAAAATTCTCCTGACTTTCTCCAATTTTCTACGACCATACTGAATAATTTTTCACAACAAACTTAATGATTTGTTGGCAGACAAACTGAGTTTGAAAAACTGAATAATTTCATTCGTCTGCTAGAAAACATTATGAAAGAAAAACAAAATTCAATGTTGTTTGCTTATGATTATGAAGCAAATAAAAACAAATATACGTGCATAGGTAATACGCATCGAAACCATTCAAAAATGTAGATCAAATTTAGAAGAATTACTCGTTCTGAAAACAAAATTAATATAAGCAACTCATTCATAACAAATATCCCTTTGGTATTTTAGAGTAAAACTAAAAGTTGTACTGATGTTTCTCTAAATTTATTGTATTTTTCTACAGAATTTCTTGTTCCAATTTTGCATAATTTCTAATAGCATTTTGTTAGCTTTTGCTATTCCATTCTTCTCTTTTGATTTCCTTCACACAGTGTAATAAGCTTGTAGAGTCATTAGGTGATTTTGGAGTAGGACACTTGAAAAATGAGAAATGCGCCGGGAGTCTAACCTGGACCTCTCGAATATGCGCCGAGTGTGCTACCGTTACACCACGAAGGCATGCTGGAAGGAGAGAGAAAACACCTTACAGGCTTTTCTCTCAAAATCATGATGCATTGCCGCGAAATTCCAAGGAAAGGTGTCTTTGACTGATATTAGCTACTTGTGCCGCTTAAAATAGTTTTTATAAAAAAGAAAAAATATATAAGTTCAGCAAGTGTAATTTCATAGCACCTAGTAATTAATAACAACAGAGAAGAAGAAATGCTTTCATTGCTTGGAAATAGCTTTAATCTATAACAGTATATAGTTTTAATCTATAACAGACAGATTAAATTTCAAATAAATAAATAAATATTTTATGTTTTGCCGAATGGCAACACACTGATGAATGGATTTCGAAGCGGGGACCGTATACATATGTAGTCTTAATAGTCCTTTGATTTCTTCAAGTCTAATAGGCCTCGTTGTCAGAATAGCCTGACCCTCGCAGACTAGATGTCATTAACAGACATTAAATTTGAAAGAAAACCTAAAAATCTTCCTCTCTTTCAAATGAAAACAAACTGACAAATGGAAGATGAAAATATTTTATTTTATACAGTGGCAACACATTTTTTAAACCGTAATGTTTGTTAATCGAAATTTTATTAAACTTGCATGAAACGCAAAATAAATAATAATAAAACAAATTCCATATTCCATTCTGCTTCGAGATGCACACACTCAGGTGGAGGCCTGTGTATGTTTAAAATTTGATGGCTCTAGGTGCCGCTATTTTCTATAAAGCGATGAACATTCATACATACATTACAAGATTCTTCATTATTTAATAATATTTTTTATTTTTCTTGTTACTGTTACCTAAAATAACATGAAGAAGATCTATTTTTATGAGCAAAATCATGATAAAATAATGATTTTATCTTCATTTTCTGTATAAAGTACAAGCAATAAACATTTACTTTTCTGAAGAAGGTAAGGTTTCTCTAAAATGTTATCAGTTATTATTTTATAAGCTCTTACAAAAATTATAAGTTATTTATTATTTTATAAGCTTCTGAATTTGCGAAGTTTGAAGATGACTGTTCTAAACTGAGATCGTCAAATGCATAATTCGCAATCACTAAAAGTCTTAATTTCGACATTCAATGTAGTTATTTTCAAGGACTATATAAAACCAGAAAACTTATTCTTTTTCTGAAACATTAATTTTTATTTTGAGGTAATACACATAATTTATTTCGTTTGTGGAGCAATACAGTTTTAATGGTTCATTACATTCCTGAACGTTTATACAAATTTTTCAATTTCCTGTCTGTGCAGAAAGCAAACTATCTTAAATTAAATATTCAGTGCCGTCTGGTTGCGACAGTGGAAGGAAAGCCGACTGCCACTGTCTTAGGCTGGTTCAAATCCGGGAGAAATGCTTAAATGATTGTAAGTGTTTAGTACCTTTACTGCATGGGGGCACCAAAAATACTGTTGACCCGAAAGTCCTGTCGAGAAGGTGATGGTAAGGAAGGGTAGGAGACCATCGGATCCATCTTCCGACGTGTGCTCGTTAAACTTTCTCCTGTAATTCTTTGCCCCCCCCCCCTATGGTGCGTGCTCGACAACGTTCTCGGTGATCAGACGTCTAAATGACTGACTGAGTCTTTTCAAGCGAATGCATTAAGTTGCAAGTGTTCATCCATTTGGAAAATAATAACAATAACATTCGAGCGATGGTATGTCAGCACTTTTCTGATTATCAGATGATTGCAATGGGTCCCCTTTGTTTCAAAGTTTTGAGCTCAATAGATGTCTGTAAAAAGTAAATTTTCTATGTGATTAACTTTAGGTAAAGATATTTGCAAAACAAAAAGTAAAATCTTCAAATTTAAAAACGCAAATAAAAGTTAATTAATATGCTACTGGTGATCTGTAGCAGAGAATACTGGCAGAAAAGTACCGATGTAGTAAAACTCTACCAAAAATTTGTAAAAAGAAAACGAAACAGGTTACGAAAAATTATGAAAAGTGTTAATACAATAAAAATAAAAATAAACTTAAAAAAAAAATTGAAAGCTTTCAGATTTTATATTACACCCAAACAGGCGGTTTTCCCTTTACAGACAAATACACGCTTCGATAACATTTGGGCTAACGTCACACTGGGCTAAAAATATTTAAAAGCAGCATATCTTTAGAATTTTGGATGCGCCGTCTCGCGCGCTGGAGATAAAAATATTTTATTCCACCGCTGTTCGCTTTGAAATCGTTGGGCTTCTTAATCAGAAATTCGTTAAGTTTAAAAAATATGAAATCGATAATAAAACAAATTCGAAACTTAAGATTCGGGCTTCCAAGGGCCCATATTGAGATGGAGAATTACGTAATTCAAAATTTGATGGCTCAAGGTACCGTCGTGTTTACAGAATGGGAAAACATACGTACATTCATGCAGACTCTTCATTATTTAATTTCTTTAAATATAATACAGGGCGATAATATTTGATGACAACAATTTGCAAGGTGATTCGGACACTTAAAGTGATTCGACGCAAAATGCCGTTTCGAGACTAATAATCTTTCTGCTCTGAAAAAAAAAAAAAAAAAAAAAAAAAAAAAAAAAAAAATGAAGAAATCCTCTGGATTTTTATTATTGGCCAATAAATACCTACTAAACTGTTGATATTTCAAAGACTCTAACCTACATAATACTAAAAGAATAAAACAAATGGTAACGATGATACTGTGTATCAGGGGAAAATAACCACGACAAACAATTCCTTACTACAGATATATTACGTCTAATGATATGCAAAAAGAACTTCTGGAGGATGGCAGCTATTTTCACATACCAGATTAGAAAATTTAGAAATAAATAAGGGAAAAGTTCCGTGAATTTCAGAAAGCCCCATCTCACTCGAAGATATCAGTAAGTAATATAGGGACATTGCTTTTAATTAATAATATTAAAAGAAAATCGCAATTTTTTGATGTTGGAATTATCAAGTTATTTTAAATTTAATATCAGCATCGCATAATGATTGCACTCACAAGATTTAATAACTATTCTGAACTAATGTTTGAATTTGGTCCATTATCCCCCTTGGAAGCTGCCTGCTGTTGAAACCTTCCAACCAACTCGCAGTTTCGCTAAGAAAGCCCAAATTTGCCAAAACGGCCATAAAAAAAGAGTATTTTCTGGATTTTAATGCAAAAATGCCCCTGCTACTTTATAGCTAGATTTATGTACTTTTAATGCATTACCTTAATTTCTTCGACATATTTCAAGATGCATGTATATTTACTTTCTTAGAGACGTCACAAAAAGTATTTTGGGATGTATATATGCGGCCTCGTCGGCCAGAGGGTTAACTTCCTTTCCGTTTCTGTCAGGCTATGTCTACTTCTGGCTTCACGTCTTTTACGGCTTTGGGTGCATCTAAAGTGCTCAGCATAATTACCTGACGGAATTTTCCACAATAACCTTCCCACCCCCTTAATGGAACTGAGCTTTATAATTTCAATGCTTTTGTCAGCTATATTAATGAATTAAACTTACCCAGGGGCAATCATGCTGGCAGACGATTACGTTGCAGCTGAACCTGACCTTTGAGCCATCCAGAAATCGAAACACTCGAAATGGAATGTAGAGGTAATAGTCACCAGTAGTTCTGCTCTGGTCATCCACGTATACTTTGTCTGATACGGAGAGATCTACCGGGCAACTATATCAAAAGAAAAAAGGATAATATATATAACGAAGTTTACTGTAGGTACTTACAAGTTAACATTTCAGGATAATACAGTTAAATATCAGTAAAAAAATTAGTTTAGAATAAATACAATATTGAGTAGAAGGTGTCCAAAGTTTCGGAGGTTTTCGATCGCAGTGATTTAACACAGCGGTCGCCAACCGGCGGTCCACGGACCACTGGTGGTCCATGAAAACGTTTTGCTGGTCCGCAGAACACTTGGGACATTATTTATATTTTTTTAAAATTCAGTTTAAAAAATGAAGAGTAACAAAACCTATTATGGAATATGGATTATATTTTTTTTTTAGTTTTAGCTACTACTTTTAGAGAAATTCCTTCTCAATTTAGCGAATTTTTAGCTACTTTTGCAGGTGCATCTAGCGACATTTGAAAGTTAGAGTTGGCATCCATGGATATGCTGCTGTTATCAGTATTAGAGCGAACTGGAATTCGCTTTCCTTTTCAGTTACAAACATATGCTATTGTAGTCGTTAATAAAACAGTTTTTCTCCGTCTCAATAGGAAACTTGATGGATTATGACAACTATCTGCATTCTTGTTTATAATTGCATCACTGGAAGTTTCCGTTTTTGTTATGTCTAACTGCTGATCTATGGCGCCATTGCTGGGTAAGCGATGATTATTATGTTTACAATAATTAAAAATTGGCGGCATAACACTATAAATTTATTGATATTGCTTTGCGTTTGCAGATTTGTTTTTGCTTTTCGTGAAGTTCTTTTTCAGTGATAGGGAAATGTGAAGCTTTCTGTACAAAGTAAGATTTTTGTACTTTTCATGTAATTTTTCAATGTGAACGAAATATGTGCAGTTTGCTGATTATTATTGTATAAATGTATTTACCTTTTTTTAAAAAATTCATATTAGTGGTCCGCCAAATGGTTGACGACCGCTGATCTAGCAAGTATGTATCAAGCGCAACATAACCAGAATGAAAGCTATACCACTATTGTAAATGATAAAACCGTCTGTTTTAATTTATAAAATATTCATTGGAAGGCAAAATACAAGTATATAAACATGGTACTTTTTTAATGTGAATTTTGTTTTCGAGTAAGATTGTATCTTTGTTTAATTTGATAAAGAAGGTAGCGATTTAAAAGAGGTGAGCGTCTCTGAAATTTTCATTCTTTTTCTACTTAATATGAGGAGGGGAACAAATGTTTTAACATCAAAAATTGACTATAAGACTTTATTTCCTTAAATTTGAATTACAAAGTTGCTTAAGTAAGGGACAGAATTTTATAAAAATAATTTGAAAAATTATGGTAGGTGTATGTAAATATTAAAAAGTCCAAGCAAAATTCCAAAAATAACTAAAAGGGATTTTACAGTTTTAGTAACATTATCTAGTGGTCAGCTTTAAAATGTTCTATTCAGTAACAATCAAAATCGTGTTAGTATACGATATTAAATTCACATGGGATTTTTATTTAAACTATATTAGAGCCTATCATATAATTAACTAATAATAGTAATGATAAGATTATAATATTTATTTAATTAAAATTATTGCTTAGTAGTTAATAATTATTATTATTTAACTAATTCTTTAGCTTTATTACTCTTACTATTTCAATTTTTACTCATAGCTATTTACGTGGGTAAACTGTCTTGAAGCCAAACGCATCTTACTTAATTTCTATATCTGAAGGATCTTAGTTAATTGCAATTTATTTTATGTAACCATTAAAAAGATATTACAAGAATTGATGATCTTATTATCTAGTTTCACGTCTCAGCTATGGCTGTCAGAAACGCCAATGATTACATGAGGTCTACCTATTTTTCCAAAACCTTTTTTTTATGAAAGTCTGCTAAAGGAATCTGTCTTGTTTGAGAGATACAGGTGGAGATTTCGAAAAACAATCCTGCGCGCACTGTACTGAAAATGGATTTCTGGATGCAATTACTATTTAGTGATTGTTGGTTCAAATAAAATCAAGGCTTCTTAGAACTACAATCAGCTTCCGACTTTGCGAGTATGATATCTACGGTTAATTCAAACAGTTAAAAGACATAGGGAAGAAGAATAACCTATAAACATAAGAAACTATGCTGTGAATAACGAAAGAATAAACATTATTAGAACTAAAGGAACTAAGTTCGAAATGGTATTAAAGAATAATATTTACAAGATAACGTGAGAAATATTGTTGAGTTCGAACTCGTATAAGATACTGTTCGGAATTTTTTATTATAAAGGGATTACATTAAATTGCATTAAATTACTTGAATTACGTATTAATTTACATTAAATTACACAGGAAATTATATTAAAGCACTCATATTACATTATGGGGATAAAAGCAATTTTTAAATAGAATGACATCTGCCATCATTACTGGTATTCCACGCACTCTTTTTTTCTGTATTTTCCTTACATAGGTTTGTTTTACGTTGATGGTTTTAGACAGTAATTTTTCCATCTTTCTACAAAAAACAAACTGAACTTTTTTTTAGATATGCCGCCTTCCGTGAATCGGGTGATGACGCTTAAAAAACCACTGATGTAACCAATGTGCAGGAATGAGTTTTGTCCCAAGCAATAGAAAGTATAACATTTCAACTGAAAAACATCTTTTTCTGATCTTCTATCAATTCTTAAATATCAAATCATTCTTTTTTAGTTACTGATAGTTTATTTTTTTACTTTTCTACCAAGATCATGTCCAGCTGTCTCAAAGCTATTTGACAACTCATGTCCGAAGAGACTATTCAGACCTTGGACAATGAGTTACGTTCACATTTCTAAGAAGGCTTTCTGACAGCATGTTTTATGTGGGAAGGGCAATCCAAATTATATTGGAGGGAGAGACAGTATTTGAATCTCTCTCAATTATGCCCCATCTCTACCCAAAGAAGCCAAGAGAAGAAAGAAAGGTATCTTTGGATGAAAATCTCTCAGCATGCATTATTGACAAGACGTTTTCTAAAACAGGCTTCACCCGCGTATTCCTCCACCCTTACTTTTTGGACACTATTTTCATTGACATAAAAGTAGGTTTTTTTGCTTTTTCGTCCATCGTCAGTTAATATTCTGATAGCATAAATATTTGAAGGATTTCTTTTATAGCTCTTTATGCTTCAGACATTTATGATTCAGATATTTATTGTTTACTATTGCACTAGATATGCTTATGCTTTCTTCATATTACCCTATTCAACTATTACATATTCACACACACACACACATATATATATTTATTTATCTCTTTCTCTCTATATATATATACACACATACACACAATAGCTAAAGCCTTAGAAAGGATATAAAAGTGATAAGCTCAGGTAAAACCTTGAACTAAACAACACGCTAAGAGTTGCAGTAAATTTTGTAGTAATAATATTATGAATAAAATAAATACACATACAATTTTAGGTTAGGTTATTTGAATATGGAAAAGCATATAAGAGCTATATGACTATGGGAAGGGATTATTTCGGAAGGACTTGCTAAGGAAAACAGGCTCATATTCCCGTTAAACAATGGGAAAATCACGAGAACTAACCACTCGGCCAGTCCGTTTGCCTGGGATCAAATCCGGGTCGAATTCCCAGTATTCAGCGGTTTTAACCACTCGATCACTGATGCGGCGAGGAATAGCGGGAAATTTTTACTGTAAATTAATAGATCGAGAAAAGAATAGTAAAAGAATAAACGAAATGAATACAAAATCAAAGCGTAATATTATATATTTCGTCCCATTTCTTCAGGAATTTTTTTTTACGTGTTACATCTTTGTTTTACATGATGTTTACCAGCGGCGACATGAACACTGCTAACTTGACCCGCTTCAAATCCTAGTGAACGGATTAGCTGTATAGGAATTTTCATGGTTTTCCCATGAGCAACATGAATACAAGTCAATTTCTCTTAAAATGTCCTTCATGAAGGCATTCCTTCCCTTTGGTAGGTAGCCCTCGTTGTGCTTTGCCACAATCTTTATAACTCAATTCATCTTTTAAGAGAGCTTGTGCCCGTGGTTAAAACATGAAATATTTCATTAGAAACAAATTAGTACAATAAAATGTTCAAGCACAAGGCTAAAGTCCAATCCTAAATGTAATACAAAAGAAATAGTTTTTAATCAATGAAATGTATATAAAGAATTAAACTTAAATTAATGAATAAGCGATAAAGAAAAAGCAGACAATTTAAAAAACTGGATTGTAAAAATCATTTCTTTTCTAACTCAGATTGGTAAGATTTTAAAGTGTAAAACTGTGAAAATAATTTCATATTTTAAGGAGCTAACGAGCAGAAATTAAAAAAAAAAAAAAAAAAAAAAAAAGGTTTAATGAGAGAAAAACAAAAGTATTAAACAATATGTACAAGTAAATGCAAATTGCAAATATTTTGTACAAAAATGTAAAAAAGAAAGCGATGTGTAATTCAGAAACACGGTTGTTTTATTATATTATCTCATAGCATTAACGCGCTGAAGAAATATTACAAGATTTATAACATTATTTCGTTTTAATTTTGGATTGCTTTTGGTTTATTCTTTTATTCTCTTCCTTTTACGAATTATTAATTTGTTATATTAATTTCTTGGCGTATATATGTATGTATACATATGGTATGTGTGTGCGTGCGTGTGTAATATGAATATAAAAGTATCTGTTAAGTACTTATATAATTGTAAAAAGAAATAAAATAAAATAAGCTCAAACCAAATCATGAACTAAAGAACATGTTAAAAGCTGTAGTATACTTAACAGGAATAAAATGAAAAATAGCTGCACTGTTAACCTTACTTCGAAATGCTACGTATGTAACACCTCGTTTTATTTTTTTTTTTAATTCTTGGTTTATTTTTTCTTTTATACGTTAATATTGTTGGGTTCTACGAGTTCGTGATAACACTTGATGAAGAATCATAACGCAGTTTATTCGCCAGTATTACACAAGACAATTCCAAAGACACATTTACAGTCGTCGAAAA